TAATAGGAAACACTCTTACAATACTACAGTACAACGTTAGAAAATCAAAGGACACAGTCATGGCCACGCTCTTGCGAGATCCCGATATAGGGCGATACGACATCCTCGCCATCCAGGAGCCATGGAAGAACCCATTTGACACGACAACTCACCATCCAGCCAAAGACCAGTTTCACCTATGCTACCCAGACAAGGATCGAAACTTCCCAGCTAGGGTCTGCTTTTTTATCAATAAGAGGCTCGATCACTCCAGGTGGCACTTTAGAGAGGCAAGCAGAGATCTCTGCTCGCTGAACCTAGTACTCGGAACAGAAGAAGAGCAGCAGATTGTGATACACAACGTCTATAACCCAACAAAAACTGCAACCGAGAGAGGAAGCACGCTTCCACTCCTGGAGCTGGCCATAGAACGATCGTCCCATCATGAACAAATCATTATTGGCGACTTCAACCTCCACCACGAGCTATGGGGAGGTGATCGGGTCCAGCGAGCAGACCATGATGCCGCTGAGCTCACCACAATCATGGAAGACTACTGTCTCACGAGCAACCTTGCTCCAGGCACTATCACATATGAAGAGTGTGACGGAAGAACGACCATAGACCTTTGCCTCACGACGGCTGGCCTTATAGACAGACTGATTCAGTGCGAAATCGAAACAGACATGGACCATGACTCTGACCACCTACCTATCACCACCTCATTAGACCTAAACATTATCAAAATGATAGCTAAGCCCCGGCGAAATTGGAAAGCGTTAGACGAAAAGACATTCACTCGCGTGCTGCAACGGGAGCTTCCGCCGCAACGAAGATCAAGAACAAAGACGGCTTTGGACAGACATGTGGAAGAAGTAATGGCAGCCATAACGGCAGCTGTCGATGAAGCAGTACCGAAGACGGCTCCGTCACCGAGATCGAAGCCAGGGTGGAACGAAGAATGCTCTGCAGCCTTGGCAGAATCAAAACGACTCCGTCGGCGACACAGCCTGTATCGTACCGAAGAGACATGGGAAGCATACCGTGCGGCGCGAAATGACAAAGGTAGAGTTATCAAGAAAGCACTCAGACAGAACCATCGGGAGAAGGTAGAAGAAGCTGCCCAATCCCCGGCAACCCTCTGGCGGTTAGCAAAATGGGCCCGAAACAGACACAGTCAAACACCGAACGTGACACCCGCGCTAGTCGACCCAGCTACAAAGCAGCAAGCAATAACCCCTAGCGAAAAAGCAGAGCTTCTCAGAAAGACCTTCTTTCCGGTGCCACCTGACACTGATATCGAAGACATAGAGAATGCCAACTACCCTGCTCCCATAGCCATGCCACCGATAACAACGAGGGAAATAGAGGAGGCCATTGAGGAGGCAGCCCCGCTCAAGGCTCCAGGACCGGACGGCATCACCAATAAAGCACTCCAAATCGCCTCTCCCTGGATCAAGCACCATCTCACCAAGATCTTCAATCAGTCCCTCGCCCTTGGCTACTATCCGGAACACTTTCGACAATCCACAACGGTGGTCCTCAGGAAGCCAGGGAAAGACAATTATACCGTACCAAAGGCCTACAGGCCGATCGCTCTATTAAACACTACAGGAAAGATCATGGAAGCGGTCATAGCAAAGAGGCTGAGTTATCTCGCCGAGACTCATAACCTGCTGCCTGATACCCATATGGGTGGAAGAAAGCTGAGATCAACAGAACACGCCCTTCACCTCATCATCGACAAGATATATGACGCCTGGAACACTGGGCAAGGCAAGGTGGCAAGTCTACTGCTTCTGGATGTATCAGGGGCGTTTGACAACATTTCACATGCACGCCTACTACACAATCTGCGGAAGAGAAAGATAGATGAAAGAACAGTCAAGTGGATCGGAAGCTTCCTGCGCCCAAGATTCACAACGCTATCAATTGATGGCTTCACATCTGAACCCTACAAATTAGAGACAGGAGAGCCACAAGGATCGAATCTGTCACCGATCCTCTACCTCTTCTACAACGCAGACCTAATCGAAAAGTGCGGAGAGCTAGACGACACGGCCACAACAGGCTTTATAGATGACGTGGCTATACTTACCTGGGCAAACTCCACGAAAGAGACATGCAAGAAGCTCCAAGAGGCACTCTATATCGCAGAGCAGTGGGCGGCCACCTATGCGTCTATCTTCGCGCCAGACAAATTCCAGCTTACTCACTTCACACGGACGAGAACAAGAATAGACGTCGAGGAGCCTCTGCAAACAAGATGGGGCACGATCGAACCAAAGAAAACATGCAAATACCTAGGTCTCATCATGGACTCCACCCTCACCTGGAAACAGCACATAGATGAAATACAACGCAAGGTCACCAACACAGTCAACGCCCTCAGCAGCCTCGGTGGTTCGACTTGGGGAGTGACAATGAGAGAAATGAGAAACATATACAAAGGAGTGGCTGTGCCGCAGATGATGTACGCCTGTTCTGCCTGGTCGAATGCAAACTGGAGAACCAGGGACAAGCCATACACAGAGCGAACATTGAGCAAGCTTCAAAGCCTACAGGCCAGAGCTTCTAGGGTGATTAGTGGAGCGTACAAAGCAGCATCGATACCTGCCCTTGACGTGGAAACATACCTTCTACCAGTCGAACAGCAGATCTTCAAGCA